ATAAGATGGACAAAAGCTCAGCCCGTTTTTACCCGAAACGAGGGAGGATGTCTGGCGGACTGCTTCAACATGTACGTCGTAGTTAAGCCAAACGGCTGCAGTACAACGAGATTTAGCAGTCGTTTTTTGTGAGATCAACATTCGAATCTCTTCATGCAGTTTCCTACGAAATGCAGGTCTCTTCAACAATGTTATATATAGCACATTCATCGAAACCCAGTTACTCTTCATATATACTATACTTTCGTTAATTCGGTTCGACGTCATTTCGCCTGAGCCAGTTTTGCACATTTCACTCATCAAGCCTTATGCCCATTCATCCATACTTATATTTACTCTTATCCTTAACCAACTTTTTTATCGTTTTTCTTAGTCTTCTGTTTATCTGTAATTTTTAGCCTTTTTAATGTCGGACTATCTTTTATTTGTGTTTGCAATTTTTATTAGCTATTGGTGGGGGAATCAGCGCTGGAAGTGGGGGAGGTACTCCTGAGCGTATGGTTGAGCGAAAATCGAGCCTCCGCATGACTATCAAAACATTGCCGGCCTCCTCCTCAACAACTTTAGTAGGTGGTGCGTCATCAGGCTTATCAGGCGCAGCTCAAGCTTTATCTTCGTCATCTTCCGCATCGGGTATCTTTCCACCATCAACTAGCCCCGCTGGAATAGCTGGCGGCCAAAATTTTTCCACCTCGAATGCCAATCTAGGCTCAGCTTCCTCGGTTTCTTCCTCTTTGTGCTCATTGGCTTCGGCTGGTGCCCCTAACCCCAGTTCTGCCAATGGACCTACAACTTCAAGCTACAAGTCGGGTAGTGGTATTACCAGACAGCATCCGCCCGTCCATCCTGCCTCTGGAGATTCAATCAGTTCTACTTCTGCCAGCAAAAAAAGCCGGTCTGTTGACGGCAAACCCTCCTCTTATATGAATCAGATGCAGCAGCAACAGCAAAATTTATGCTCTAATCCAATAATACCTACTGGTCAGTTTACCTTAGTTACCATTTGAGGTTCTTTGATTGATTCCTTTGGTCTCAAGTGTCTTTTTTTTTTAGGTCCAGCTGCCTCCGGTCATGCTTCTGGCAGATCTACCGGCATCAATAACATTTCTCAGACTGGCACTAGCTCTGGTGGTAAAAAGGAGCGCAGACGTCGTCTTGGTCACAATAGCCTTGATAAAATGGTTATTATTTCCGGTCAGGCTGAATCGCATTCACAGACTCCACTGGCCACACAGAATCCGATATTATCCAGACAGTCTCAGAACAATGCTTTTTTAACCACTTCATCATCAACACAGTCCTCGGTTTTATTGGCCGGCTCCACCTCCACTATCTCCTCAACTCCGGCAGCTAGTATATCATTATCTACTGGGTATATAGCTCCTCAAGGGCCAAACTCTTCCTCATCAGGATTGCCCGTTTTTAGCAGTAATGCAACTAGTCCTCTAATCAGCTCAGCCTACTTGGCTGGCTCGATTAATAGTCACACCTCTTCGCCAAGTGGAAGCAAAAAGAAGTCATCACTTCACCCAACGATCTCCTCTTCAGGCACTTCCTTCTCTCCTCTTTCGACTTCGACTTCTTCTTCTTTAGCATCTAGTATTGGTCTCGGAAGCTCCACAAGAGGTATGGTGAATTCCGATGGCGTCAGCCGAAAAAAGAAAAAGACTGCTAGTAATCAAGTTGGTAGTGCTTGTAATGCCAGTGGTGGAGTTAGTGCCTCTGTTGG